GAATGCATATATTCAGTGCCACCTCTCAAGCTGATCTCATTTTTATTTAACTGTACATCTAGACTCTCCAACTACAAAATACCCTCAAAACATAGGCCATTAGACATGCAATGCTTTGTTGATTTAGCCAGTAGGTTGACTAATAGGTTTGGGGGTTTTTAACTGGAAAGGGAGCCAGGTGTTCTATTAGGACAGCTGGAAGAACAATCCACCCTGTTGATGTTGCCCATGTCCCAGTCCTACAGCTGACTTGTTCTATGGCCTTGGATATGTCCCTTTCTCTCTCAGGCTTCCAGGTTTTAGGGTCTCATTTAAGTAATTTTCCTGGAGTTAACTATATAAGCTTAAATGCACACTAAGATAAAATTCTGATTTGCTGACTGTGAAGAAATAAATCACTGTGTTACATGGGGCAGCTGTAAGAATTCATTAGGAAAATGTTTTGAAAGGATGCTCTAGAGGAGCTAAATATACTCCCCAGTCATGATGTTAGAGTATCATGATTGGAACTTTTTTATACCTTATAAAAAAGTGCAATATCATAAATCTGAATCTACACCAGCCACTCATGCTTAATATCTATCAGAATGTTTTTCTATATAATAAATTTCAGTTTGCATGTGCAAGTAATCTTTAAAATGTCAATTTTTTAGCCAGGAAAATGTAATCTCATCTATTAGTGCAACAGTTACAGAATGGTGTGGACTCATTACCTTGAATGATCTTTTGGAATGTGAGATAGTGATGTCATGCAGCACGAGAGTGGTCCTGTCCCCAGGAACATTCTTTTAACAAATGCCTTTTTCACACTAACTTCACTTAAGGCAAGAATGTATCTTTTTGAAGCTTTTCAGTATCCTTCTTTTTCCTTCTCTTTTTTTGGTGGGAAGTCTCAGCTTTGGCAGGGTGAAACAGCTGAAAAACTTGTGAAGTATAATGCTTTGACTTTAGCTTAGTGAGTGCCCCAAACTTCTGATCTGTCCCCATCACACACCCCTCTCCCTCCCCCCCCTTTTTTTTCTTATTTTTTTTTTTTTTTTATATTTTTCTTTCTTAATATTGGGAAGGCAAATACTAAAAATTTGTCTCAATTATTTGGACTAGCCAGATCTAGGCTATACAGAGAGTAAGAAGAAAATGTCAGACCCTATTCTGTCACCACAAGATACAAGTAATTACATATAACCTTAATAGACACTACCTATGTTGTGGGCCAGGAAAATAACACCCAGATGTCCTGACCAATGGAGGTAAAACCATGTAGATGGATAGATGTAGTTTCATTTAGAATAGTTATGTTCAAATTCACTTAAAAAAAAAAAAAAAAAAAACTTGTTTAAATAGTAATTACTTCTCTCCTTATTCAGATAAGCAAAATGAAGCAAGGACTTATATAGACCAAAACTCTTGGTACTTTGTGAAAACTGTCACAGGATTGAGAGGCTTGCCTTATGCAGCTTTGCAGGAGTGCAAAATGAGGAAAACATGCAATAAACTACTAAACCCACAAAGAGATGAACCTTCAGAGACTTTCCATCTTTATATGCAGGCTAACAGGCATCTAGGGATGTAAACTATAAAGACAGCAGAAAGCTATTTTCACACAAGTATCTGTCAAGGTTGCAAGAGTGGAGAGTATGATGCAGCGTAAGCATCATGCAGAATACATTAACTTTATCCATAGATAAATAAATTTTGTCATCAGTGATGTTACAACTGTGATGGTCTAAAGACAGATGAGGCAAGGCTTGTAAGAAAGAATGGTATCTTCCATTAGGTCTCCAGTACAGAGCAGCTTTTGGATGCATGAACCTTTTCCTCATGTTTTCTTTACTTCTATAATGCACTGTAACAAGGTGGTTCTATTACATCGAGGGTTGGAGCTCCAACTGCTGGTGGCTAGTGGGGCAGAGCCTCTTTTACTGAGGCCACCTTGAATATAAGAAGAGGAAATGATGAAAGACCAGGGGCTGGGTCTTCCATGCAAAAAGAAACTGAAGATCTGTAGTTGGAAAAATGATATAAGCTGGGACATATGCTTTATTAAAAACCCTTTTTTTTTTTTGATTTAAAAAAATCTTAGGAGATGTCTCTTTACAGCGACTGTAGTTCAGCAGAGTTGGTTAGACATTCTATCACATCATAACAACATTCCGTTTCGAGTTGGGAAATGTTCTTTCCTGCTCAGAACATTGTTATCTTTCTCAATTATTAGAAAACCACTGTTTTACTGTCACCTTCCCCTCTGGCTTTTAAAAAGGGTTATCAGTTTTCCTCTGCATTATCAGTTGCTACCTTATAATGCAGAGGAAAACTTGCTGGCTCATAAAAACACCTGAAGTACTTTTTTCATGGTACAGGAGGGAAAATATTCTTATTCTGAAGTCATATCAGTTTTGATATATTAGACTTGAGATCACACAATGTTCATTCTCTCTTTTCTATTTTTGTTCAGATTTTACTCAGGACTGCCATTTTATTGTGACTTTCAGAAGTGACTGGATGTGTCTTTCATTGACCTGTATTTTCTGAATGGTCTATTGTTAATATTATTCTTCCTTTCATTAACAACTATAGGTATTCAGTACTACTATTCTTTCATATTATGTCGAGGAAAAAAGTTTTAACAGCAAAGACAACTGGTCAGTGAGAATACAGCCATGGTATTTAACCTGGTTCCATGTTCCATTATAAAATATTTTTACCAGAAAAAGAACTCTTACTCCTTTTTTTATTATAATCCTTTTAAAGAACTAGTGCATTTTAAAGTATATCTTAAATAAGTTTGTAATTTTTGGCATCTTAAGGTGCCAGAGCAGAGAAATGAACCATAAATGAGAAACATCAAAAGTAACTTAGAATTTTTTTTAATATTAAAGCGATGAATCACAGGCCAAATTAACAAGTAAAGGAATCCACCTATAATGAAATCTTTTTTTCTAACATAACACTTCATTATAAAGGGAGTTTTTCTATAATAGTAGCAAGTGTAATTACATTTTTATATATAATTAGGACATTATTATCATTTCACCATATCAAAGTTCATTATAAGACATGTCCAATGCATTTTTCATAGAGCAAAAATAAAAAGAGAACAGGGGTCCTTCAATTAGACTAGTATAAGGACATCCACAGAGACTGAGGGAAGCTGATCAAACAGCTTAGCCCAAAAGGGACCAGGTAGAAACTCATTGCTTCTCTGGCACAGGGAAGTTGCATTTTTACATATCCTACTTGCTATTAATTATACTTTTCACCTTTCTCATATTCCACTACATTGTTTAGGATACAAAAATGTTTTTCAAATTATAATCCACCAGAACTAAATATGGAAGAGAGGAAATCTGTGTAGTCTATGAATTTGAGTCATGAGAGCTTCTCTACCTTCTTGAGTATGTTGCTCTTATACCCAGAAAGTTACATCTGTGCCACCAGAAGGACATGCAGAGGGAATCGGTATTCCATTTTCCAGATTATTTTTAAAGTGTTTGGGACCTCCTTCTTTCTAATTTGAAAAACAATTCAACCTTTTCCTCTTTCAAAAATTCCTTTATTTCTGAGTAGGGTAAGGATTAAGGAACTATTGATAATTTGCACAAGAACAATCAAATCTCATGTTGATTATTAGCTTGTATATTCCTTATACATTGTTAAAACTATGCATAGTTTGATTATGCTTCATGTACTTTTGTAATCCTGAATGAGTTTGTTATCTGATGCACCCATACATGTAAATTCTACATGACTTTGTAGCTTCCAGAAAAGGTGTGTCCTCTTCTCTTTATAAAATACATTTATAAGTTCTCTGGTAGAGCCATAGAATGGAAAGAGTTTAATTCTGAATTAGTGTTAAACTGAGTGTATTTATCCCACTTATCTGTCAGTCTAGAAGCCAGAGGTATGCAGGTTAAATCACAAACACAGTAGGAAAATGAGTATTTCTAGTGCCATATAAAAAAAAATGCAGTCATTTGTGAAGCTGGCAATAAAGAGATCTAATGAGATCTTGAAAATATGGCTTTGGACACCTGTTCTGGGATGTGGTAGGGGAACTACCACATGGTGCTGGACTGTGGTATCTAGTGTTTGGCAATGCAGATGTGTTCCTTCTCCAAGAATGCACTATAATGCATATATAATGCTCACTAATGTGACAACAACTGGATTAAACAGATCGTGAAATACAGAAGTACTTTAAATGGCTACAGGTAAAATGGCCCACTCATCAGAGAGGTGCCTGACTTGGTTGCTTGACTGCTCTCCAAGCTGAGAGATCCTCAACTTGGTGATTAGTTTTGGGCAGTGGGAATTGCTGCCTTCTGGGCAGTGCGGAATAACGCAAAGGGTGCCTTGTACAGAAGGTATGCTCACTAAAGAAAGGAGCTGCTTTCGCATACTCTTGCAGGATGCTTCTACACTAAGAAAAATCCAAGTTTATGTTGAAAGTATACTAAATAAGGATGCCATTTCTAGAAACCAAACAAAAAAAACCCTCAACCAAAAATCACCCGTTTGTTTTAACACTGTATTCCTGGCTGACAAAAGCAGATTTTTGTCTGAATAGGTTGTGGCTACACAAATGATCTCTGCTGCAGAGCAACACTTGCTCTAATCAAAGTTTGCACCTCACTACATTGCTCCCTGACACTCCTATGCTGGCAGAAGGCTGTAATACAGACCACCTCAGGGATCAGAGAAGAGGAAAAACAAGTGGGAGCCCCACCTGCCCTGGAACTAAAAATGTCTTGCTATGACTCTGTTCTAGAGATCCACATTCAATACATTTCTAATAACAAGCTGTTGTGTCAGGTTGATTTCTGCATGTGAAATAAAGAGAATCCCTGGCTTTGTAAGAACTGTGGTGACTCCAGGTTTTACTGGCGTTGCAATAGTTGGTGATTGCTAGAAGGTAGCTGATAGATTGTCTACTGAAATGGGTGATTGCAGAGAGCTGACTGTAGCAATTGGCATTTTCTTTTGCTCATCTTAAATTATACCTCTGGCTGTGAAGCAATATATTTCAGTCCTGCATTTTGGAGATCCCTTCCTGTTCTGTTCTGATCTGCAGGCTGTTGTAACACTTCACTGTGCTCTGTATTGTAAAGCCTTGCCACATTTTACCTATAAATATTGAAAGAATATATTACTTTCTGCTGTCACACAGAACACCACTGATAATTATTTACTTTGTTATTCCTGGAATAAGAATGACTTTCAGAATGATGTAAAAGTTTTTTGTGACCACCAGTGTGTCAGGGTGTAAATTGTCACCCAGGTGGTACATTTCAGCCTCGGAGTGTTTCTTCACACTGCGCAGGCAGAGGTTGGAGGTGGAATGCCATCACATACTGCCAACAGCCCTGACCCCCCACAGCCCTCCTGCTTCCCTGCAGCGAGCTGATCAGCAAATGCATCAGTCCTGCAGGGCTGAGAACAAACTCATTCCTTTTTTAGTGTAACATGGGTGAAACATGCCTACATTAAATTAGATGAATGTTCTTGTTTCACTTCTTCATTTCTTTACTTTCTCCTTTCCTTTCCCTCCTAGCAACTTCCATTAATTATCTGCATTTAGCTCAGAATTATCTCCTTTTTGCTTGTTTTCCTCTTCTCATTTCCTCTGAAACCACGATTTTTGTCCTGCTAGGAGAAAAGTTATAGTTCAGTTGCTATAAAATGGAGTAGTATTTGTTCAGGGATCTGACAGATCTTACATAGGACACAAGAACTGCTAAAAGATCTAAATCAGAAAACTACAACTGGAACTGAAAGTTCTACTGTAAATAGCACAGGCACAGGAATTTCATTACAAATAATTGCATTTATCTGAATGGTTTCTGCACTGCTCAAGTGAAAGAGGGAGAGAAACAGCACCCAGGGGGTTTATGTTATATCCTCCATTTTCACAGAGATGGACTTTGCTCAAGTGAAATACTTATGAAATCACTGGGCCCTGCTGGAACAGTTGGGCTTCTCCCCAACTTTACTGGGATCTGTGGACAAGACACAGAATGCAGGGAGGAGAAAAGCCTGAGAACAAGGGTGGAACAAGAAGACTTGCAGACCACCCATCTGCAGATGTAGAAAACTGCTCAATGCAACCACAGGTCTCCAATAACAAAGCAGCTGTCTTTGGTTCTTTCTGTAAGCATGACAGCACAAATGACTTAAAACAGGTCTGGAATGAAGCAAATGTGGGGACCTCAGCTTCAAGTTGTGCTGCATCATTTAGTCTGACACAGAGGCTGCTCAAGGACACTGTTAAGCTTTTAAAATCTTGCTGGCGTTTACAAAATACAAAGAGACTCCTGCCCTTATTTACCAAATCAGCAAAGATGAAATTGTGATAATAATTGCTGCTATGTAGTCCCATGTCAGTGAGGTTTGGATGACTTAGGAAGTAAAAACCCAGTCAAGTAGAATACTGTATTTACTGAAGGATGATTTTTAACTGCTTAAAAAAAGTAAAGTATGTAACTTCATCTTTGTACTACAATCCAGATAAATCACCATTTTTAATGAATCATTGCATACAGAGAGTCAGAGATTACACAGATACCCAATTTTATTAATTGTAAGAATCTTAATTGTTCTCCAGCACTCACAGCCAGGAAAAAAATGTTGATGTGGAAAACTCTCAAGCTTCCTAAATTCTGTCTGTGCTTTCTCTTCACTGTACTCCTTGCAGAGTGGCTTCAGTATTTGAGGAAATAAAAAACTAATTTTTAAAGAGAAAAGAAGGACATAAAACTGATTTAGTATAGAGTAAAAACGTGTGAAAACAGCCATGAGAGGAAGGAAGTGAGACTTCTGTAATATATTTTATTTCCAAGAGAGTAACGCAACAGCTGTTGCTTAGAACATGTGTATGAAGTCTTTGCAATAAGGATGAGAAGAGGCTCTGCCTGCAGTCTGGGCATCTGAAGCTAAATAATAATGTTACCATAATGCTGATCCTGGCTCCAGGGCCCGTTCGTTGTCCCTGTGTTCATCAAAGCACTAGCCATGGCTGCAGGTTTTCAGTTTGGAGTGGTCCATTCCTGATAAGCTCAGAGAATGAGCAAAGCAGGCTCTTGTCCTTCTGAAAGACTGTAGATGTCCCTATAACCATTCTTCACTTTGGAGACTGAATTTCACAGTATTATGCAGCAGCTGTTTGCCCTTTGGCCTTTTCTATTGAAGATATTTTGCACTCACACAGATACATGGTGGCAGCACTGTGAATTTCTGGTGCAGAAGTGCTGAGCTAGAGGAAATCGAATCTCAAAGACCTGGGTAAGATGCTGAGAATCCAGTTTCTTGCACTGAAACTTTTAACACTTGGCCTTCTACCTGAAATCATTTGAGTTTAATTTTCTGTGATGCTGAGCATTGGCACAGTTTTTCTTAGCTGTAGTCATGGGAGCCCAGCACCTTTTAAAGCAAGGAGGAAGACAGCAGGAGGAAATATAAACCTTTCAAAATCCAAGGACCTAAAATGAAAACCACTAACAAATGTTTAGTCAAAATTTCTGACTTCGTCTTGCCTCTCTATAAAGTAAGGTTGTTAACAGCTACATCCCTCAAAAATGGATTTTGGGGATTTCAGTATTTGTTAAAGCCCTGAAGAAATACTGTCTGTTCTCTTTAATGAAGCTCTTGGGAAGAAAATGAGTTTAGTGTTAACATGATCCTGTCTGCCTGTCCTTCACCTAGACAGCTATTCCCTTCACAGTATATGGCCCATATTGCACTTCAAATATGGCAGGTAGAAAACCAACCTGAAATTTTGTCCATGGGAGCTTTGCTTTGCCTGTGACATGGGAAGGGCCCTGGTTCCAGCTGTGTGACATGGTTCACTTCCATTCCCTGACCACCTTATGGCCCTTAGTATGCACACACTCAAAGTGAAGGTAAACTTTTGGAGCAATAACCAGAGAAACCTCTCCCAAGAGAGTGGCCTTTTAGGAATTAATAGGAGTAGTATTTTGGGTTTCCTTTCCTTTACCTTTCCTTTCCTATTTCTGTTCTACTGCTGGGATAGAATTTGCTTGTCATTTAAAACAGTAAATAGATATATAAATAAGTTTTTCTCACAAATATTAAGAAAGTTGTCTGCAAACTTAGGCAGGTATCAGAGATTTTATTTAACTTGGATTAGATTCTGGACTACATTTTTTTATGGCCAAGTCTGTTAACAAAATCATAGAATCCCAGAATAGTTAGGGTTGGAAAGGACCTTAAGATCCAACCCCCCTGCCATGGGCAGGGACACCTCCCACTAAACCATGTTACCCAAGTCTCCGTCCAACCTGGCCTTGAACACTGCCAGGGACGAAGCATTCACAGCTTACCTGGGCAAACCATTCCAGTGCCTCACCACCCTCACAGGAAAGAACTTCTTCCTTATATCCAGTCTAAACTTCCCCTGTTTAAGTTTTAACCCGTTACCCCTTGTCCTGTCACTACAGTCCCTAATGAAGAATCCCTTCCCAGCATCCCTATAGGCCCCCTTCAGATACTGGAAGGCTGCTATGAGGTCTCCACGCAGCCTTCTCTTCTCCAGGCTAAACAGCTCCAACTTTCTCAGCCTATCTTCATACGGGAGGTGCTTCAATCTCCTGATCATTCTCGTGGCCCTCCTCTGAACTTGTTCCAAAAGCTCCATGCCCTTTTTATGTTGAGGACACCAGAACTGCACACAATACTCCAAGTGAGGTCTCACAAGAGCAGAGTAGAGGGGCAGGATCACCTCCTTCGACCTGCTGGCCACGCTCCTTTTGATGCAGCCCAGGATATGGTTGGCTTTCTGGGCTGTGAGCGCACACTGAAGCCGGCTCATGTTCATTTTCTCATCAACCAGCACCCCCAAGTCCTTCTCCGCAGGGCTGCTCTGAATCTCTTCTCTGCCCAACCTGTAGCTGTGCCTGGGATTGCTCCGACCCAGCTGTAGAACCTTGCACTTGGCATGGTTAAACTTCATGAGGTTGGCCTCAGCCCACCTCACAAGCGTGTCAAGGTCCCTCTGGATGGCATTCCTTCCCTCCAGCGTACTGTTGAAATAAAATGCTTCTATTAAGGTATTTAAGCAAGGGATCAGGTTAGGAAAGCTGAGGCCCAGTTAGAATGAAACTTTGCTAGGGATGTGAAAGATAACAGAAAGGGATTCTGTAGGTACATTGTGAATAAAAGCAGACTAAGGACAATGTGGGTCCTCTTTGGAAGCTATCAGGAGAACTGGCTGCTCTGAATTTGGAGAAGGCTGAGGTTCTTAATGACTTCTTTGCCTCAGTCTTCACTGGCAAATGCTCTGACCACACCACCCAAGTCTTGGAAGGCAGATGCGGGGACTTCAGACAGTGGTAAGAGACTTTTATGTTTTGGAGGAGAGGGAGTACCTTTATAAATCATTAAGGCCAGAGATATAAAGTTCCTTCTGTACTGCCCCACTGTTAGCATTCTCAGTCTTAGGGGAGGGTTTCAACATGAACTGATTGTTTTGATGGTGATGTAATGTGCTTCTAGTGACTATTTTTCTTGGGATCCTCTCTTCTTTCTATTACTGTCCAGTAGAGCCAATCTGCCAATACCTAGTCAGTGAGGCATTTCTCAGGCAAATCCCAACCATGCTGCAGTTGCATTGGTAACCACAATACTGTATGAACACTCACCCTGATTTTGACCAGCTGAATTACTGCAGGGCATGCAGTGCCTCAGTTATTATAATAGGGCAAACAAGCCATAAAATAAACACCAAAAAAAATAAAATCAGTCAAAGCAAAATAGGCACCTTGGAACAAAGCTACTAAAAGATTACTGAGAGGTACTTCAAGGACTGTAATATCTGTCAGATATGCAGTACGAGAACTAGATGAAATGATTCAAATGATGCATTAAATTATTTCAGTATAAGCAAGTGGAAAAACTCAGTAAAGAGACACAGCCCTTGAGTCGGGTAAGGAGCATGACAGCTGGTAGAAAAAATGACAAAATACATTTACATAGAGCAATTCATTTAAACAAGGTAGTACAGAGATGAGCTCAATAACAGATGCCTACAATTGAGGAAATAATATCTGAGTTGGCTGGCAAATGCACAGGCTGTCTTGCAATCAGGTATTTTTGTGTTAAGCAAGCAATTA